CAATAAGCAATCCTGAAAAATATTTGGGGGTGCTTAACTTTTTTCCAGGTGTATATAATGTCATCACTCAGCTTTATCAATCATTACCTTCTTCGTAATTTTTGTATCACTTGTTTTGGTGCCTTTGATTAAACCCGAACAAGTTTAGAAAATATATATATACTACTATATCTAATGAGTTTCTATCTTCATCAGTTGCTGATAATATGAGAAATCTGTTAGATTATTTATTATGTTTTGTTTAATTTTTAATCAATTCACATAATTTATTTCTCCATGAGTGTCAACTGTGTTTTAAGGCCCTAGCCCTATGCCTTGATACCAAACACTCCAAGAAATTATTTTTCTTTAACTAGTGTCACTATTCCACCTAATGCAACCCTGACCTTTGATGTGGAACTATTAAGACTTGAGTAGCAGTTGCTTCATAATTTGATGTTGTAACCTAGCCTCGGCTGACCCACAATGCTGTGCTTTACCCTGGAAGTTGACAGAAGAGTTAATAACCCAGAAAGAAAGTGTAACTAGCTAATAAGGGCTCTGCTGGAGGTGTAATGTTTGATGTTACTGGAACTGTTATTATCTCCCAGTTTTTGCTGTAGTTGTAGAACAGATATGCGTCTATGATTGACAATCTGTTTTTTCAGCTGTCCCTTGCTTTGTGGCTAATGTACAACTAATGTGATCACGTGTGTGTGTGTGTTTTTGTTCTTTTAAGTCCAAAATGAAAGAAACATGTATGTTCATCATTAATAGTAACCTTGGAGTTAACAGATCTCTCACTTAGAAAATCTATGCAGATTATTAGAAAACCAGTAGGTATAAAAACAATGTTTAGTGAATAAAATGGAAAAGTTAGCCACCAATTAAATGTGGTTCAATACAATTTTCTAAGAATATATTCTGTAAAGATGGAAATTCTTGCTTAAAGAAAATCACATTTTTTCATTAGGTCATGAACATGAGACACATTTTTCAAGTATATTTATGTTCAGTATACTCCACCTATGACATTAGATCTTGGGAAATAAATTCACAGTACATTGGAAGCTATTCAACCTAATTTTTATCAGTTACTCCTGAAATACTTTGTGTTGTAACTGTAATAATAAAAGAGAATAATTGTGAACTTGCAATCCAATCTGAGTAACTTAATTTTTATACTTACCATGCTGTGATCTCAAGTTTTTCATTCCGAAATGTATATGGTCAATTCCTTGGGTTCCTGGAAAACACCATATACATGTTCTGTGAGACTTAATACTTGTATTTGATTTTTGGATGGATGTAGAATTACTCCTCCACTAGTGGCATGGTCAACAAAAATTTTTAATTTTTGTGTTTTAAATTCAATACATCATTGAAAAAGCTCAATGGTTTGCTACTGTATTCTTGAATTTTGCTACATCACAGGCCCATTGAATAGCAAGCTGACTGTATCTGGATTTGTTTTTAAATTCTTTTACCAAGTATACTTTTTTAAGTAAATAATATAAATTAATGTTATGATTTATTGTCATATTTGTAAGTGCACCTAATATTTTGATACTTTGTTTTATAAAGTACTGTTATTCAAATGTAAGTAATACTGAGTTTTGTGGATGGCATTATATACATCAAGAATCATCAGATTTAGAAAACTAAGTATTGATAGAAACAAAAGTCCAGTTTTGTTTCCTAATTTGTCAAAAACTGGAGAGAGGCAAAAGCAGAGTGAATCAGCCCATATTACTGTACTGTGGAATTATTCCAGAATGTTAAAATAAAGAGTTGATATCAATAAAATACAGTTTTAATATCTGAAACTGAAAAATCACCAAAACTAAATAATCCTTACTGAGTGATGGTCTTTTGTTGTTATTCTGAAAATAGCTTTAATTACAGACCTGAATATGGCCAGTTTATTATGCTTAGTATTTACAGAACATTGTTTAATTATTTGTAGTATAGGAACTGACTTGTACAGTTTGGCCATAACACAATTAGCAGATAAGGATGTTGATGTTTATTACACGTGTGATATTCTCAGGTAGGATCTGCAGATTTACGGCCAGAAAACGTTATGCAGAGCTAAACCAAATTATTCTCTTGATTTTCACTTCATACTATACGAAACAGATTGAAACAATCTTCATTAAATACACAAGTAACAGAAGAAAATCTGTTCCTGAATGAGAAAAACAAAGGGCTCGATCCAGGATTTGATGCGGCGGGGGGTGGGTGGGCTCATATACCAGGTTAAATCACCTCTCTAACTTGTGTGAAAATGCCAAAAATTCTTGTTTTCACCCTTGAGCCAAGAGCACCTTAAATGCTGAAAAAAAACACATCAGCAAAGCTCTTGTTGCCGTGCTGGAGACGATTTAATTTGTTTTCGTTGTTTATGTGTAAATTTCCCTCATAAACTGTATGACTTGTTACTATAGGCTGATTAGGCTATAGAGTTATTATTTGGGCATGTTGGTGACAGAACACAAGCATGACTATTATCGTTGAAGTGACATTTAAGTAAGTTTTGCATCAACATTGTATTGTTTCTTGAAGTAATCGTAACTCTTTCGTTTACAACATTGTGCTGTAAACCTCAAGTGGTAAAAAAAATAATTTTGTAAAATGGTATCGGGTTATAACGTCACAACCAATATGTGACTCAAGTATTCCCGTGATCCTTCGTGCCATAGTATAGTAAACGCACTGCGTAGTTACAATTATTAACATTGCGGTAACCAAAATATCGTTCTTTGATATTAAGGAGAAGCTTTTAACGTATCGCAAAATGGTGTCTAATAGAAGTGATATAGCAAGTATTGAGAGATCCATGTGTCTGAACGTGTACATGTAACACTTGATGATGCCAGAAGGCAAGCTAATGGTTTCATGTATCAAACAAATAAAACATCTTAGTCCAAAGATTCTCCAGGGTTGTCAACTATTTGTCATGTTAAATGGTTTCTCACGAGATCCATGTGTCTGAACGTGTACATGTAACACTTGATGATGCCAGAAGGCAAGCTAATGGTTTCATGTATCAAACAAATAAAACATCTTAGTCCAAAGATTCTCCAGTGTTGTCTACTGCGACAACCGGTTAGCCATGTTAGAATTTCTGTCAACTATTTGTCATGTTAAATGGTTTCTCACGAGATCCATGTGTCTGAACGTGTACATGTAACACTTGATGATGCCAGAAGGCTAGCTAATGGTTTCATGTATCAAACAAATAAAACATCTTAGTCCAAAGATTCTCCAGGGTTGTCTACTGCTACAACCGGTTAGCCATGTTTGAATTTCTGTCAACTATTTGTGATGTTAAATGGTTTCTCACGAGATCCATGTGTCTGAACGTGTACATGTAACACTTGATGATGCCAGAAGGCTAGCTAATGGTTTCAAGTATCAAACAAATAAAACATCTTAGTCCAAAGATTCTCCAGGGTTGTCTACTGCAACAACCGGTTAGCCATGTTTGAATTCTGTCAACTATTTGTGATGTTAAATGGTTTCTCACGAAATCCAGGTTATAGAAACAAAACTGCTGAATATATTAGAGTGCGGCTTTGGGAAGGATATTTTTAATTAGTTTTTTTTTTTTTTTCATGTTTACTAAATTTGACTATCAATGTAGGTCATCACAGTAAAAAGGAGCATGTGCAGAAAGTTTTTGTTTTATTCAATCATAATTTCATGAGAAAGGGAAATAGGTTAGCTCTAATTCCACACCTGAGAACATTATATACACCACACTTTTGTGCTATTCTTTTTTCGTCACGTGTACTACCTACACTAATCTTGTACATTTCCATCGGAAAACAAAGAAGGTTGTATCCTCGGGGTATCATCTGGCCCGCTAGTGGAAAAGATCACTGTCTACTTTTACATAGCGTGTTCCACTCGTAGACATCATGCTCTATCTCTTAAGTTTATGGCTCAATTTAACATAAATCTTTCTTGCGAGAAGACACGTGATACCGTAGATGAATTACCAAGACAATAGGTAACTAAAGGAAAAGAACTTAGCGTGTTCTTTTACTTTAAACTACATGCATGAAAACTTCAATGTGCACTTTTTGATTCGAGTAAAATGGAGTAGAAAATACCTAGTATGCCAGCATACTACTCGCCTATCCAGTACCCGAGTAAAAATGATATTGAGAAGTTTTGATGAGTTATGATAACTTACATGTGAATTTTTTGTAGTCTTGACTGATGTAGAAACGTCATCACCGCAGAAGAAATGCTAAGTTTTGTGTTCATTTAATGTGTTCTGTAATGCTAAGCATCTTTCAGCCTTTTTAAGTTATTTCTTCTGTAACCGCATGATTTGGAGCTTGCAACTAGAACAATTCTTTACAGGATGTAAAAATATCCAGTTATTTTTGTTTTCTACATACTTAGAAGGATAAGAGAAATTCTGGTCGAATGTTTGCTCGAGCGAATTTACTCAGAAACTGTTTGTACAAAAATTAATAGTTTTATTAAATATTTATTCAATTTAAAAGGGTAAGATGTTAGTATCTTTAGAATCGGCAAATAACATAGGCGTTTAAAGCTGGCGAAGTATAAACAGTTCGATTTCGTTCTGCTACAAGAATGACGGCCATGTGAATAGTCTTGCCAACCTAAAAAGTGAAGTGTTAACTCGTGCACTTCAAACTGCAAACAATAAGACCTACGTCACTGAAGTAGGAAATAACTGAATAATGTATACCTATACATAATTAGGTTAGACTGTGTTGTTGTTCATAGCAGACAGCTATTTTATATTCAATGAAATGAACACAAGATGTGAAAATGTAAATAATTTTATAGTTTAATACCGAAATTTTACTACTGTCGAACATAAACTGCACACTGGTGCAAAATGTATTGGAAGAGACTATTTCTTCGATGGTGATATTTCGCGTAAATTCATAATCATTATTTAAAAATATATAATAAGTACATTTTAATTAAGCATCTGTACATCATTAGACGAAGAAATAACGACAGTTGTGAAACAAAACGGACTAATAATGGTCGAGACACTTTTTATACCAGTAATTGCTTGAACAACAACTATTCCGGTGTAAATTGTAACTTTTAACAATTTTATTAAAGGTCGTTAAAATTGATGTAATTGAAGTAAGTAAAAACCATAAACCTAATTATCAACTTACAACTTCATTTTCTAATGGGGAAGTATGATGTTACTTTACCAACGTAACGTGATATTTTCACAATCTGGAATAATATTCGAAACGAGACAGTCGTGAGAGAAAAAGTAAGTAGTACCTATTCTGTTCTCTAGTAAAAACGACCTCCTTTTGTGCTGAGATAGATACAAACACTGTGTTTTGTGTTTCAATAATAATTGCTCATTGTATTTTTGTATCCAGTTTCATTTTCTCACAAACTCGGTCACACTGAGAAAATTAAGAATTATTCTTGCTGAATCTCCTGCTGTCCTACAAACCTATCTTTGAAGGAAATCGGTTACCACAATCTTACGAAACCGAAAGAACAAAATAAAATGTTGGAACAAAAATTAAGCTATAAAACCTATTCACGGTTGTTAAATTAAGAACCAGTAATTAGACTTACGTTTTAAATTGCGTCATTTCCAAGAGTTTACATGTTTTATTTACACAAGGTAATTAAGTTCAAAAAAATTATTATTATTTTTAATAATAATGCAATAATTTCAAACTTTATGCATAGATTCTTTACATAATTATAATTATCCTTTTGAATTGTCGGAAAGCATTCTCCATAAAGACAATTCATCAATAAAACCTTTTAAATCGAAACTGTTAGCATTTATATCGCGTCCGACTTTGTCTATTCCAAAAGGTCATTATATTATACTTCTTCTCCATGGTAATAATGTATATTGCTAACGGATGTCGCCACGGTCTCATTGTGATTGTTGTTAAAGAAATAAAGTAAACTATGATACCCAGAAAATATCTAAAACTTAGATTAGTAATATTCATTTTTTTTAACAAACTAATTGTCTTATTCAGCTTTAAATAGGTTCTGAATACTACTTTAATGAAAATCATGTATATAACTGTAATATCTTGAACAAATAAAGAAAAACTTTTCAAAGAAAAAAAGAAGTAAATGTAGGGATGGCTAATATCAATCCTTTAAAACCAAAGCAAACAAGATTGTTGGTATGGTACTTGCATCATGCCATCTCTATTATCTTGTTTACATTTACTTCCTTTTCTGAAAAGTTTTTCCTTACTAGTTTTTTAATGCAGTGTTTCGATAGACATAGTGAGGATGTATTTATACCCAAGTTGTAAATACAATAAGATTCCCACTGTAGTATTTATCATTTATCTTTTATTGGCTGGTAATTCCTGTACTTAAGCTTTTTAAATGAACACCATATTTCTGATAGAAAGCTAACTTCAAGGGGTAATGATAACATTGTTTACACTAGAATTATAATTTTTTAAAAATTACTACTAGTTATTAATAATACTTATAAAAGCTGGTACTCCCTTTGAAACTATGTTACCTCAGTAAATTTGGTTGACACCATTGTTTTGGGTTATCATGTAAGAAGAAGAACAAGAAATTCAAACTTTTTGCTATGACATTTACAGACAATCCCAGAACTTGTGATTCCGTCATTACATAGATATTGTTATAAAAAGAAACACTGTATAGTATTGTAAAGTTCTGATGACCTATTTTGGAGATATTTAAAATACAATTTTCAGGAACAATCCGAGCCATACCTACATAGGCAGTGCTACCGTCTGCCACATAAAATATTGTTACGTCTCCGTTTGTTAATTGATTTTTCCGTAACTTCGTTCCGACGAAATTTTAACGACACA